ACCCCCCCCCCCCACCCCCCCCCCCCCCCCCCCCCCCCCCCCCCCCCCCCCCCCCCCCCGCTCACCCCTCCACACCCAGTAAGACCATGGGGTGTGCCGGTGCGGGAAGGGGAGGAGAAACCAGGAAACGGGCAGGAACACCGCCCCCTCGCCGCGGGAAGAGGAAAGGCATGGTGCCCATCTTGTTTTTCCCGTTGGCAACGGTCGAAATGTTTTTTTCAAACTTAGTCGTTAGGTTCACAAAATTTACAAAATTCTCACTATATATGAAGTGTGAAAAATAAGAGTTGAGTAACTCTGTCGTCACCTTCATCACATTCGTTGTCGAATTTTTTTTCTTCGTCTTCCTCTGATGAAGCTGAAACTTTTTTCATTAACGTTATCATTAAGTCGAAGTTAGAGCATTTGTGGAATTTCGCTCCACCAATTACTTCGATGATGAGGTTTCAAAGTTATTTTTTAAATATGAATTATGTTAACATTTTTATTCGAAATATGAATTGTATGCCAATATTTTTTATTCTGTCTGAATTACTTTAATGTATCAATTTTATTATTATTACTTTTAATCTAATTTAAATGTATAACTTTAAATGTTTGAAGTAAAATTTTATTGTTTTTGTGTTTTTAGTTTAATTATATGAATTAAAATAAGTGTTATAAAATAAAAGTAAAAAGTGAAGGAGAAAAGGGGAAGAAATGAAGGAGACGGAAAATGGAAGAAAAAGAAAAAAACTGACGTGACGCTGAGTTGGAAGAAGGGGAAAATGGAAAGCGAGAAGGCACACCCCATGGCCTAATAGAGAGAGATGGTTCTTTATTGACTAAGCAAATTCACTACCAATATAAATATATAAACATTTCTTTCCTAGCTAACAAACAATAATAGAATATGGATTTTGCATTTGGGGGGGAGACTGTTGAGGACATAGGGAGAAGAGCCTATGGTAAATAAATATGCCCAAATGGCAATTTACCATATTGAGGTGTTCTTGAAAGGGAAAGGTGTTTGTGTTGATTCTGTGTGTTAGTAGTGATGTCTAGTTGTAAAATGTTGTGAGTGCATTCTGCAAGGATGATTTAATGAGAAGTGCATTTTGTTTCAAAATAATAGAATATGGATTTTTAGAAAAAAAAAATTATTAATGTCTCTGTTCTTGAGTATGTCAAATTTTGAGCTTTTTCGATCAAAATTTGTAAACGTTTACCTCAAACTAAATAAAAATGATATTAGAAGTTGATACAAAAAATGGTTTATTAGATTTATTATATGAAATATTTTTAAAATATTATTTTATCTAATTAATGTAAATTATGTATTTTATTTAATTATATGTCAAAAATTGAAAAGAATTAATTGAAAAATGTCAAAACTAGGGACGACGAAAGTAGTACCAAACAATGGAAAATAGTTTTCTTTTAAAAAAATAAATTTTCCCGACAAATCTAATAAATAGAAAAAGTTATGTTAATCCCGTGATTTTCACTCCCTACCCATCCATACATAGAATGAAATATTGCCATCCAAGTTTCCACGTCCCATAAAACTTGAAAAATTTGTAAATCTTTTTTTTTTTTATGGTTTTAGGGATGGGATAGATCCAAGAAGACGACGACGAATCTTATCATATTCATTCCAACATGGTCGGAATCGAACAGGCAATAACGTTGTCGTGTTCTTACTTAATAATCCTAAATTATATTTCCATATATGGATTGGGCGCGGTGCTTCAGCCCCGCCAGAGAAGAAAGCCGCCGCATGCCGCCGCTGCCCACCACCTCCCTCAAGAAATTCACCTACAAGAAGCTCCGAAAAGCCACCAACAAATTCAACGCCACCAACAAAATCGGGGAAGACACCTACAAGGGCACCCTCCGGAGACGGCGGGCCGCGAACCCGAACCCGGAACGGAGACACGAGCCGAAGAAGACGGTCCGCGTCGTCGTCCGAAACCTCGGCCGCCGCGGCCTCCTCCTCGCCGACCTCCCCAAATGCCTCTCCGAGATCAAGAAACTCGAAACCCTCTCCCACCCGAACCTCGTCCCGCTCCTCGGGTACTGCGCGGAGCCCGACGGGAGGCGGCGGCACCGGGCCCACTGCTTCCTCGTCTTCGACCTGATCGAAAACGGGTCCGCCCGGGACCACCTCATCGCCCCGAACCCGCGCCACAAACCTGTGGCGTGGGAGCGGAGGATAAAGATCGCCCTCCAGACGGGCCGCGCCCTGGAGCACCTCCACGAGCGCGGCGTGATGTACCGGGCGTTCGGGTCGAAGACCGTGCTCCTCGACGCCGGGCTCGACGTCCGGCTCGCGTACTTCGTCTTCCCGAAGCTCAACGCGTACAAGACCGCGTCGGAGCTCGCCGCAGAGGCGAGCCCCGACGCGGAGGAGATGCTGCTCTCGCGGGCCCCGGAGCTCCACACATCGTACTCGACCACAAAGGAGAACGACGTGTGGGGGTTCGGGACGTTCCTGTGCGAGACGCTGATGGGGAAGCCGCTGCTGCCGTCGGGGAGGGACGACGGCAACAACGGAGACGGGGACAAAGAGAGGGGCGTTCTCGGAGCGCTGATGGAGAGGTTTTCGGACCGGAAAAGGTTGGAAGAAAACATGGATCCGAGGCTGAGGAGTTACTAAGACGCGACGACGGTGCTGAAGATCGTGACGATTGCGGGGATGTGTTTCCAGAATCGGCCGGAGGCGCGGCCGTCGATGAAGCAGGTCAACAAGTTGCTTGATAAGATCTGTGATGATGAGTCCAATAAGGTGGAATACAGGGATGGTGATTTCCTATCTTTTGACCACTGAGTTAAATTTTTTTTACCCCTTGGGTTATTTTTTATTTCTTTCTAATTTTAAAGGTTTTTGAACCTATCCCTACGTCCCTAGAACTGGAGGGATAGTGTGATTTTTAAAGAGTGTATATAGGACTTCAAAAAAACAAAAAAAAAACAAAGAATGCATATAGTGTGGTTTTTTTGTAAATTAGAGGAAAGGTGCATCAGATGAAGGAAATGGCCCTTTTAAGTTTTCTCTTTACTGTTTATTCATAGGGTAAATTATTATTCATTTTTTATATATTTTTCGTTAGTTATGTGATAAAACAATATAATCATATCACTTCTTGTTTCATAAATAAATTATTGATATAATTAGAGGATGTCCTTTTAAGATAAAATGATACAAAGTAGAACAAAATCACATCTTGTTTCGTAGAATTTTTAATAATAATTTCAAATATATAAATTTTATATATTAATTTCACACCAAGTTGCAAATTTCTACTAATACTGATGTGAATTTTTCTACTTAATGAAACTTTTAAGATCACCCCCCTCCCCTTTCTCATGGTATGAAATTTAGATAGGGGAGGACTAAAACAATGCATCATCATACCACAAAACAAGAGAGAAGAAGGATCTTTAATTACCAGTTCACACCAGAATGAATTCTGAAAGAAAGGAATGGGCTGATCAAGACAATGTGGAGGACTTTGAGAGCCTGAGGCACTCGCTCTGGCACCTCTTGAGGCAGACGTCATTCCAGTGGGGCACTTGGTGCTGGTTGACGCACACTGTTCTGGCGCACGCATCAGCGCAGGCATCGAGCTCCGAGACCCCGCAAACAGTGACGCAAGTGTCGGGGGTCGGGTCTTTGGAAAACGTGCCGACTTTCTTCAGCATCCTCTTTGAGGTACAGACCCTCTCGCAGACAAAGATTTCGTCCGAGCTCTTTTCCCGTCCTCTTGCCCTCTTCAGCCTCTGTTCCTCGTCACGTCTCTTCTTCATCCTGAAAGCTTGGCCGGCTAGTACAGCTGGCACAGCTGCCGCCACTAATGACCACCACGAGTCCACCATCGATGCAAGAGCTGAGGAAATAGATGAGGTTGCAATTGGTGTTTAGCGAGCAGAAACCCCAATTCTATGATCTTACATAAATGATCCTCAATTCCTGAAAACTATTCCATAAATAGTCCTTTAGGCCAAATATGACAACATTTTTTTCCCACATATAGTCCCTGAAGGACTAGTTATGGAGGAATAGTTTTCAAAAACTGATACTATTTATGTAATATTTATAATTGGGGACTAGTTATGGAAAATCACCTGTAATTAGTGGCCATTTATGGAATTTACTCAAAATATTGTATTTGAACTGTTTGGATATAGGCAAATAGAAGTCAGAAATATTTCAGTTCATTGCGCAGCCTCACAACCAAATGCACACCGAGGTTAAAGAGAGGACTAACCAAAAAGTGGACCGAGATAAATAAAAATAGCTCAACAAAAGTTCGATTGAGATTGAAAAGGGGGGGGGGCAAAGTGTTCAACTGGTCCAAGACACAAATATTAGAGGCTTAATATGATTGAATCATGGGTTTAACAACAACAAGCAAGTGAATACACATGTGAAGACATGTCAAGTTAATACTCTTTCATCACGATACTCTTTCATTAAATGGAACATTAAAATTTCCTTGCTTCTTACTTTGTGTGAAGTTTTGGGCAATAAATGCAGCAATGCATCTAGGGTGTAACTGCAACAGCCTCTTTATTTTTACTGGGTAAGACTGCATACATCTTGACCCCCAGACCCCAACGGAGTTGGGATTATACTAGGTTGTTGTAAGTTTCACGAGCTATCAGTCTCTTGTGCAATGAGGCTGAGCCTATTTTTAGGATACATATGAAGATTTACACTAGAGCTTCAATGGTTCCACTCCTTCCTCGCGTCTCCTTGAATTTTCTTTAAATTGTGTTCTCATGCGAGAGTTAGTGGATAATAGTTTTTTTAAATTCCCTTCCATCGGCTATCAGCCTCATCAGACACACCGACTTGGCTTGAATAAAAGAGACATCTATTAGAAAATAAGAAATCGCCCAAAATTGGAGTAAAACATACGGAGTAGCTCTTATCTTCAAAATAAGAATGACAAATTTTTATTCTCAAAATAGGAGCACTGTGACAATGTAGCACTATATATTGACATTTCACAATTTTTTTAGCATTAGATCTAGACATTATTGGCATTGTAACTCCTATTTTGGTAATTTCTCTATTTTTTGCTTCCAGTTTAGTCTTTTTCAATAGAAAATTGGTTCCAGATCCCTCTTCCAACGAGATGAGCAAGGATTGACGGTGCTAAAACAAGCCCCTTGATGTTGGTTGGATCTGACCCAAGGTAGTATTGAAAGCACTCATACTATTGTCTGCCGAATCCACAAGACTCATGTGCTCTCCCTGCACATATAGTTATTGCTTCTCATATTTCGAGTGGCTGGAGTAATGATAGGTGCATCAGCAGCGGCAGGTTAGGTTTACTGAAAGGGTCTTTTCTGTTTCTACATTGAGCTTCTCGCGGAAAACTAAGTATTTACTGCCCCAACCAAAACCTCCATTCAACCACCCTCCCATCTGTCACAACAGATACCCAAGTGATGCACGATCCACTTAAAACACAAGATGAAACAACAAAATGTGAAGGGAGAGCACACGAGTCTCCTGGCTAAGGTGAACAACGTTATGAGTGCCTTCAGGTAAACATTGGATCAGATCCAAGCTATCATGAGGGCTAGCTGCAGCAATGCTGGTCCTCGTTAGGTGAAGGATGAGTGGGCCAGTTTTCTATTAAATGACTATTTTTGTTCTTGGCCTCTATTATCCATGTCGTGACGGTGTAGTTGATGAGAGTCATTCGCAGGGAGTTAGAATATTTACTATTCAGAAATTCTGGCATTAAAAAATTTAAAACAGACCTTTTAAAGTTTAAGGAGAACTGTAGAGGTAAGTTGGTGAGGATTAAGGACTGAGTGGAACTATGAAGATTCTAGTGTGAATCTTCATAGGGTTCGCCTCTTTAAACATGGGAATGAAAGCTTGGAAATCTTCATGAAAGGGTAGAATATCGACATGCTACAATTACCCTCTTTGTTGTTTTCATCTTCACTTGGAAATTGCTACAAATGCCCTCTTTCTTGCTTTCATTTCAACAGTGCTATGTCTATCAACCGACGTATAGTACTATGTATTTCTCTAATCCCGTTTGCTTTCCAATTATCTACCCAAAACTTATTTTTTCAGAATCTAAAACAAATGAAAACTACTGTTTCTGGGGTGAGAATTGACACAATCAAGAGAATCAGCTTTTCATAATCAAAGCCAAATGAGACCTTAGTTTTTAGTCTTCTTGTTGTTTTCAATTATTTAAATGTTGGAGCAATAGTTGTGTGGAGTAATGGATTATTGAAAAATACTAATTGTGGCAAAATCAAAATTCAAGCTTTTAAGAATTCAAATAATGGGAGTGGTAAATCAGCTATGCCTCTCACCATGTAAATTGAACTGAAATGTTCAATTTCCCACTGCACGATCTCCAAGAAAAATCTTATTTTGGCTAAGAAATTTATAATAATCCGATTAAAAATGTGGGTTTATGAATACATAACATTAAAACTTAAATGCAAACATTTTACAACAACAACGAAGCTTCATGTCCCAACAACTAAACAATTAAGCATTTTAAATGCAAGTAACAAAACTATTTTAAAAACATATATTTGAAAGAAAGATATACAAACAAAGCAAATACTAATCTGGAACGTGTGTATAATATCTGCAGAGTAGTTAGTGATTCTCATTCTCTATTTAAAATTCAACCCTCTGCAGATTCATTAATTAATGATCAAAAAAATCTACTAAGGTTAGAAGTTGAAGCAGTCAAGACTGAAGATGGAGTGTAGAAAAGAAAAATACCTTTGGACTGATATGGATGAACAGCAAAGAGAAGAGAATAGAAGGGAAGCTTGGTGATATTTTAGGAATTCTAATGGTAATATGGTATATAGAACTACAATTGGGCTTCATTCAGATATAGCTTGTAAAATGTAAAGTTAGGCTCTATACCTCCTTAACCAGGCTTATACTATTCAAAGGACAGCCCAATAAACTTTTACAAAATGTATTTTTCTGTCAGTTTACACCATTCTATTGTGCTACTACTCTCCACATAGGGATAAAGTATGCGTACAATGAACCTCCTTAGACTTTAATTCACAAGATTTTACTAGGTTTGTTGTTGTAGACTTGTAGCATTATTACACAATTAATTTAATAATTTTAAAATGAACGGATCATGTATGTACAAATTTTTGTATCCATCAAAATAAAATTACAATATATTTGTACACTTAAATATATAATTCTTGATGTAAAAGGTATTTATAGCAAAAATATAATTTTATAGTGAAAAAATGATGCGTACTAAAATTATACGGAGTAGGCGGACCCAGAGATTTTCGGGCATGGGATCCCATTGATAAAAATTTGTATTCACGTAATCCATAAAATACAAGATTACGGGTAACATGAAATTTCAAATATCAATTGAAAATCAACAATGCTCTTACACTATGGATACAAAATACATCTTACAACTAGTAGCGCTTACTTTTCATATTTTGGAAGTGGTTTATTATAACATCATCGCCAATGGTAGTAAAAATATCTTTCTCTATGAGAGTCTTACATTAGAAATCCGAGTTAAAACCTCTCTTACAATTCTTTTACCTTACTATCTTTAGACTGCCTCGCTCACAACCGTTTTTAAGCTTAGACTCCAGATTTCGAAGCCACAAATTGATAATAAAAAATAAATAGTCACTTACATTAAGTCAGGACTCAGGAGTCTGAAGTATTAAGCATAAAGTCTAGAGTTTTAAGTAAAACTGTACAAGGTTTCGGTTCGGAATCGGAATCTAGAGTTCTGGAACTGAAATTGGACCGGTGGGCGGGTTCTTACTTCTTAGGAACTGGACCAGACTGTTAGGGGAAGAGTTCTGTTTCCAGTTCTCCGTTTTGGAAACTGGAACAAGCGATTTTCGTTTTGATTCCATTTTTCATTTTCCATTTTTTTGGTTTTAAATACAAATTCCCAATTTATTTAAGGTTCGATTCATAATATCTACAAACAAAAATTAGTATGAAGCAAAATGTATCAGTTTTTCAAAAAGAATAAGTAAAATTGAAAACAGTCAAACCAGAACCCATTAAGGTTCGATTCACATGTTCTAGAGTCAAAATTGAAATCCAACTGAAACCATTAACCATGTACATTACTAGCTTGAGTTTGGAAAAAATTAATCCCGCAATAACTGACCTATTTTCACTTGAACTTTCAGTTAGAGTACTAAATTTAATTGATTTTGTTTTTTCACCGCAAAACCCTAAACTCACCGCTGTAAAAAAGAGGGGTCTTCAGTTTGATACCAACTTACAATGAGGTCTGAACGAAACCAAGCAGAAAAATTGACAATTATCAGTGCATTGAGAAGTGATAACAGCAACGGCTAAAGCGTATACATTCATTCATTCTTCAATACTGAGAGCAAAAGGACTCATCAATAATATAATTAGGCTTTGAAAAAAACCTTGGAATCGCGAGTTGGAGTCTTGGAGACGGAGGACCTGGAGCGGCGCGGACGGAGGAGGCTGGAGGTGGACTGGCGGATTTCTGACGGAAGTCGGCCGGGCGAGAAAGAATATCTTACGCTTATCCCAAGTGGGTACACATACCAAAAAAAAAATAAATAATTAAAAAATATCCTCATATCTTTATTTTTAGAAAAAATTATCTCAAATAATCTCACCTTTTCGCGCTCTTTCAAAAATAATCCCACTTTTTATTGTCAATGGAAATAATCACATCTTTTCGCATGTGTACGAGTTTTGGGTCACCGTTAAAAAAAACTAACGGCCACTTAACGGAAGTTTTTGAAAATGCCTGTTTTTTGCAAATAAATGAAAGGTGGGATTATTTTAGAAAAATTTACCTTTTACTTTTTTAGTTTTGAATTTAAAATTAATATTTTTTAAAAATATAACAATACACTCTTGTTAGAGATTTGTCTAACGATTAACAAATTTTGTAGTGATTTATAAAATTTATGGGTTCCGTTTCGGAGAAAAAAATATTGTGTCATTTTCACAACTTTTGAATTACTATTTTGGGGAAAAATTTGTATTGAATTATTAAAAAAATCACAAATTGGGTAGTTCCATTTTAGAAAGAAAATTTTATTGCAATATAAGATTATCAATAAAAATTTTAGAGTGTTCATGGAAAAATTGCAATACATCAGAAAAGGTAATGAGTTATAAAAATAAAAGTTCTATTTTAGAGAAAAAAAATTGTTGTGTTATTTTCACAACTATTGTAATGTTGTTTCAAAAAAAATATTTATATAGAACTATCGAAAAATATTCATAAGTTTTGCAGTGCCAATTTTTTAAGAAATAATAATATTGTAGTATCAAAAAATAATTTGAGTTGCAGCTCAAGAAAAATATAGTAAATGCAACTTACAAAAAAATGTACTCCCTCCGTTATCAAAAACACTTCCTCTTTCATTTTTTTTCCTTCCAACAAAATACTTCCACTTTCTATTAAAAAACCACTTTTACCCTTACTTTTTCATACCCTACCTATCACATCATACTTTATCTCTAATAATATATCCATCACATCTTACTTTTACCTATCGCATCAAGAGCAAAATTGGAAGTCAACTACAATTTAATACTTCCTTATTTTTACACAAAGTCAAAAGAGGAACACTTTTTCCAAACGGAAGGAGTAGTTAGTTATGAAGTTAATAAATTAGCTCTATTGTGTAGAGTAATTTTTTTTCTAATTATTACCATATTATTGGTTATTGAAAAAAACAATTAGTTTCACTCTAAAAACACTTAAATTTGGTATTTTTCCAAAAAAATAAAATAAAAATACATTTAAAGAAATTAAAAAACGAAAAAGGGAGAATTTACCTAAAATAATCCCACCTTTCATTTATTTGCGAAAAACGGGCATTTTTCAAAATTTCCGTTAAGTGACCGTTAGTTTTTTAACGGTGACCCAAAACTCGCACACATGCGAAAAGGTGGGATTATTTTCGGTGACAGTGAAAAGTGGGATTATTTTTGAAAGAGCGCGAAAAGATGGGATTATTTGAGATAATTTTTCCTTATTTTTAAAGGATAATTTACTTAAATAGGATTAAAACATAATGACTTTCTCAATATAAGACCATATATTTTTATTTCCTAATGTAGGACCATTGGTCATTATCTATTAGTCATTATTCAACTAAATGTCCAGCATTACTCGAACAGTATTCTTCAATAAAAAAATTTAAGTCCTACATTGGGAAATGACTTATGTTTTAATCCTATTCCGTGCAAATTTCACATTTTTAAAATAGGAGTTACAATGTCAATAATATAAATATATAATACAAAAAATATAGTGAAATGATAATATATAATGTCACACTGCCACAATGCAAACTATTTAAAGTGATTTCTTTACATTAATATCTAGACTTAAAAATTTATCTACATTAATTGTTTATAAAAGTTTATAAGATTTTTTAACTAAAATGTTACGAGTACTTTTTTAACGTGTGTAACTTTTTTAGAGTAAATTATGTTAACAAATATTACGCTATATTGGTCGCATCTTCACACGTCAAAACTACATGTCTTAGGTGATTTAGACATGTGGAGAGACGACTAATAGAACATCCTATGAGAAGGGATGATCAAATAGTGAATATGCATGTGGCTAGAGGATGAGATAAACCTAAGAGGAATTGTCAAGCACTGATCAAAGGAGACCTTCGCGTGAATGATCTCGCAGAAGATATGATAAATGATAGGATAAGACACAATGGCATCGTTTGATCCATGTAGCTGACCCTACCTAGTGGGATGCGGCTTTGTTGTTATTGTTATCAAGTATTGCGCCACATGCATATTCACTATTTGATTAAACTCAATGAGGAGCTTTCATAACCACAAAAGAAGCTTGAAGAAATGGAAGAACATAAATTTGATCCGAGGTCTGACCTAAGTCAACTCAAGAGCTTTCATAATTGGATAAAAAGTGTGGGACCAGATGTTATTAAAGGACAAGTGAATATTTCAAATTCCACGGAGATAGATTGGTCTCGGATTCTCATGTCTTAAATACAATGTGAATCCAATTGACTTATTTGTTGTAGGAAAAAGGAAGCACCTCAAGATGTAGAAGAATTTGTTTCGAACTGCACAAACAACTCCCTATTTTTTACTGCTTTTACTTTATTTTTTATGCGGGTGCATGTGACAGAGAAGATGATATAGCAATTTGTTGGTCAGCTATTTCTGTGAACAATGTTATAGCATCCCCTCAGCAGCCTATATTATCCTTCTGTTTGCATAGATTATTCTGATTGGTAATTTCTGCTGAACTATGGATATTTCAATAAAATAACAAAGGAAATGAAATCTAGGTAAGCAAGCTTTCAATAGGATTTGTTTAGAAGAAAAAAACTAAGCGATCAATAAAAATACCCGCATTTTACTCAAAAAAAACTAACACTAATGGTATATCAAGTTTTTATCCTTGAACTCAACATTGAATATAGTATCATCTTTAGATTCAAAATCTCGTGTTGTTTGCCAATTATCAAAATCTATCAATAAAATCACATCCGTTTCTAAAAAAAGATGTTAGCACTCAAGTAGTACAATAAGCTTGTCATATAGTTATTCTTACAACACTTTAAGAGTCTCTCTCTCTCTCTCTGTGTGTGTATATATATATATATTCATACACAAACAATATAAATATACGATCTTTAAAAACTACATTATAAATGTATCTAAAAAGTTACATTAGAAGTCATTGTATTTAATGTTGAGTCTATATATATATACACACACACACACACATACACAAACAATATAAATATACAATCTTTAAAAACTACATTATAAATGTATCTAAAAAGGTTACACTATAACTCATTGTATTTGCCTTAAAAAAAACTCATTGTATAACTCATTGTATTTTTTTTTTTTGTATTTGCCTTAAAAAAAAAACTCATTGTATTTAATGTTGAGTAACAATTACCGCCAATGCGCTATCAAGCTCGGCGTTGTAACGTTTCATAACATTCTGCATCGGAAACCTAACACCAAACTCTTCCAGAGCGTCCGCACAGTCACTCTCTACGGCAGCGCTGAGACGGGTCATCAACGTGCCTTTATCATGTGAAAAAAGGGCTTGAAGAGACAACTCCAAATCATCTACGGCATTCTCGAAGCTTTCCCGACATGTTCTTACCAAAGAGTTTCTAGTTTGTACCTATATTGTATTTTGTGTGTTGATCTTTAATTTGACCAACAATATACAAAAGTATACAATTAATTAAAATATAAAATATATGCCATAATATTTGTATTGAAAAGTTTATTTAAAATAAATGTATTATCTTTTTCATATAATTTTTTTATTATTTTAAGAGACATTTTTCATTCAAATTTCAACACAAAGAAAATGAAAAACAGAGACAACATGGAATAGAGAGAAGAACTATTTATTAACCTTCTTTAGTTTAATGTGTAAATTTTTAGTTCCAATAATTAGCATTCTACTATATATAGATATATTTATTACTTCTAAGCATCACACAAACATGAGCACAAATATTATACAACCCCACCTAGAGCTAGGTATACCTGGTAAATGTTCATTTTGAATCACTATAGTATTCATTTTCGCACATATGTTCATTATAATTATAATATTTATTTACGAATAACGCAATGTTCCTTATAAAATATCATTTTGAACTAATATGATGTTAATTCTCAAACAACGTAGTATTATATTCATTCTAAAGCACCGTAGTATTCATTCTGAGCCTTGGCTTTTAAACACAGAGGAGGCCTTCTTCATCGTCACTTTCAAATCCACCTTGGTCACCATCTCCAATTCATCATTATCGACAGCTGGGCCAAGGTCACTGTCGTGCACTTCCCTTCGAACGACGTAACTGATCTACTCTGGGTTTGCCTCCCTTTGATTGACGCGGTTCTTCTCCAACACTCTTATCTTGTCTCCTTTTTGATTGGGGATTGCGATTGTTCTCTAATCATTGGAGGTCGAAGCTAGAGTTCGATGTGCTCTTCGTTTCCGATCACGCGCTTAGCTTCGTTTTATGACCCAGTTGTACCCAAAGATAGGTACAACCGGGTGTACCATATGCGTACAAACATAAGAAGCATAAATATAAAATATTATGGGTGGGTTCGAGCCCGAATCATGAATCTTGTGTTCTAGACCACATTCTTTATTAGTGCAGACCACATTCTATTACTCCCTCCGTCTAAAAGTTATTTGCATAATTTTGGAACGTCCAAAAAGAAACTTTACCCTTCACTTAATTCTTATTTTAATAATGAACGCATAATAGCCACACATTTTATGGAGGGCTTACGGCGGGGTTGGGGTGGGGTGCATGGGCGGGGGTAGGGTGGGGGGTTTAGGGGGGGTAGGAACCAGCAATTTTGCGAACGGAGCACTGGAGGTGCCCCAAAATGCCAGTGGCACCGGAGTGGCACCGTACTCCAGTGGCACTAGAACCCCACCGTATTTTATATGCATTTTATACTTTAATTATCATATTTTGTTATATTTGGTATTTTAGATTATTGTTTACATTTTACACATAAATGTGTGCTTTGAGCATATTTATATTTTATTACTACCTCCGTCTCAGGGTATTTGTCCAATTTGACTTTTTCAAGTCAAACTGGACAAACTTTGAATTCTAATTACTCTCAATTTGTATTAAATATTAGCATAATGAAATACAATTTTGAAAATTCTAAATACGATAAATCCAATAAAGTCATTTTTATATTAAAAATACTTTACAGTTTTTATTAAATTGAAGCTCAAAGTTTGTCTAATTTGACTCGAAAAAGTCAAACTGGACAAATACTCTGGGACGGAGAGGGAGTACTATTTTAGAGTATTATCTTCCTTGATATATTTTGAAACACAGGAGTAGATGAAGATAATATTAAAATGAATATTGGGGGATGTCCAAACTTCACCCAATTGGCCACTTGGTACCCAATTTACAAAGCTAAAATCATTTATCCATTTTGACCAAGGCACAAAAAGGAAACAAAAGAGAAACAAATAAAGCCTCTACTAATTGAACACAAACACAATGAACTCCCGCTATAAAGATTCGGATCATAAGGAGATCGAAGAAGAGCTTTAGGTAGAAGAAGAGTGTTTGATTAAAAAAATATTGTATTTTTTATTTGGTTGTTCGTGTTGAATGAATTTGACTTTGAAGTCTAAACTATAAAAAAAAGTGTTTTGAGAACTATTATTCACTGGATTCTACTTAAATTGGACCAAACTGCAGCCTAATCCAATTTAGAATGACATTTGCTTTAATGTTCAAAATGCTTTAAATTTTCAATTTTTTAGAAACAAAGTGTCACTTGATTAGTACTTTGCTGCCTCATTAAGTGATTTTTGCTAATCAAGGTTCTCGAACTGATTTTGTTAAATAACTGTAGTGTTACTGCAAAGTGGGGAGACAGAAAAGTATGAATATACAATTTTATCCATGTTCTTAACAAAAATATTAAAAAAGACCATTCGTGAAAAATTATATAATACTTGGGGACTAAATTAGCAATATTTGGAACTTACTCTATTTTAAATGAATATATAGAACAAAATAACTAATAAAGTGCATAACGCGTCGGGTCAAACCCGACCCGACCCATTCTGACCCATAAATTTACCAAGTCTTCGGGTTCAGGTTATTTCGAATTCGGGTCGCAAAATCGATATTCAAACCCTGCTAATTTCGAATCGGGTTTCGAATTAATAACGGGTCGAGTCAAATTTTGCCACGTCTAGTTTCATTTATTATAGGTGCTGGGCATGAACTTTTTTTAATTTCTTTTTCCTTTTTTTCCACCTTCATTTATTTTTCCAATCCTTCCAACACGAACAATGATGAATTTTTTTCTTAACTAAAATTAGAGTATTTTACATAGATTTCTGGATAATCATTTAATTAAATAATTTTCTAACACTTTAATTCTTCCATTATTTCCAACTCTTTCCAATTTCTTCATTAGTCATTCTCGCACGAGCCAACATCCTCTTAAAAGTTTCTTTAGCATCAAGTGTTGAAGTTTGTAGGCTTTGTGCACGTGGATCAATCAAGAAAATGTTTCTTTAAGCTCAAGTATTCAATTTATTAGGCTTCATTAATTCAATTCAAGAAAGAGAACTGTATATATTTATATTCACTCGGCTTATCAATTCGTCTCCAAAAGTTCCAAATAAATTCACTCTGATCTCCACTAGTCTCTCTACTGTGTACTAATCACCAATAACAAATCAAAGAAACAGCGCCATGGATGTGGAAAGGGTGTTCAGGAGTGTGTACAACCTTAACAAAGATGATGACATCGTGACGCACATCAAGATCGCCATGTCCGACAATCTGAAGAAGAGCCGCTGCAGAATCGTCAAGTTATTGTTCGCCGACAACCCCTTTCCCTCCTCCACCGACGACTCTGATGAAGAGGAAGATCAAGATTTGGGTGGCCTGATAAAAGATTCCCCTCCCAAGAAGGATGAAAAACAACAAAAAGGGTTCAAGAAAGCTGTTGAAGAAGACTCTCATCGTTGCTTAGTGGCGGCGGCGGCAAAGAGGATGCTCTGTGGCAGCCAGAAAGAAGGTGCAGAAAAGAAAGCCAAATCTCCTCCTCCCTGCTGCGGTGGTGTCCAGCAACGGCTACAGGCAAAGAGGAAGCTCTGTGGCGGCCAGAAAGAAGGTGTAGAAAAGAAAGCCAAATCTCCTCCTCCCAGCTGCGCTGGTGTCCAGCAAAGGCTACAGGCAAAGTTGAAGAAGAGAAAGCCCAATCCAAGATTTATTATTTGCTAGATAATAACTGATGTGCAGACAGAGTAATTGAAGTGCGAGATGACTCTACTGGGGAGATAACACACAAAGTGGACACGCCAGCAGACTGCCGGAGAAGATGCAGAGAAAAATTTCACCGCAGCGGCGACCACCTGCGTGGCAGGATTACTAAACTCTGGAATTTGTTGGTGTAATATTGGTTTCTTTTAATATTGTAATTTAGTTTAGGGGTCGGGCGGAATTATAAGCCCCTTTCTGGGTTTTCTACGGTTCTTTCCCAGATCGTAAAAAGAGAGTCGAACCGAATAGGGTCCCTAGATAATTATAATTAGGACTTGAACTTTTTCTAAAAGGATTATCAATAAAAGTATTCATTCAAACTCTAATTCTCTCTTTCTCTGCACTTGCCCACAGCTCAACCCTCCCCTCTCTTCTTTGGATTCTCTCTTTATTCTCTTGTTCTTGGGAGTTCAGAGAACTCGAAGTTTTCTATATTTAGAATAATTCATATGACACAGTTTGTAATCTAAGAACTATGTGTGGCTTGATCCCAAATTTGTTAAAAGAAAAGGGTACATAGGCAACCTTGAATGTTTATTAAAGGTTCAGCTCGTTTTTTTAATAAATCTTTATACTTACTGTATTGCTATAGTATTAAGAATGCAGTAATCTGGATGTCTGCAAGAATCATAAATGATACGGAGCATTTAGGGGGGGGAGCATTACGACACCTCTACTGAAATACAGGAAGATCCATTCTTGGTCGTGGGTCATATAAGCCGGTGGATCCTTCAACTCTTGAGATGATTTTGGAAGATCCTTCATCGCCAACATTAGCCACCATTTTCAAGAAATAACTATGCCTATAACAAGAAATTGAAATTCTCATGGATGGGGTTTAGCCAATACATATATAATCATATAGACGTACCCGATTTTTTTATATAAAAAAGGAATGAAAAATAGGAGACATATACCACCGAGTATCAGCAGTTAGTTCAGGGTGAAAAGCAGTGGCTAGCATGTTCCCTTGCTTTACAGCAACAATCACTCTTTCCTCAGGCTCAACGGGTTCATGTTTCATCTATACCAATTACAATTGTGCATTAGAGTATGATTAGATACCAGAAAATGCCAATGAATGAAAACAAAATGCCATGAAATATTTTGAATCCGTGTAAGGCGTCCACCCGGAGCTCATTCTCCACTGAAGCCACTATAACCTCGGCTCCAGCTCTCCGCAGTATATCAATCGTCTGGATTCACATATAGGGTGTTGAGAACTTCGACTGTCTGGCTGTTTTTCCTAGCGGCTTTAGGGCAGCCCGCTGATATGCTAATTACAGATAGCCACCTCGAACGATGACTCAGTAAAAAAAATCCACCTGTAGCTCATGTAATAAATATATTTTTTTACAAATGACAACTCAAAGAAGCTACATGTCTTCACTAAATAGTAGGAATCACACTCCTAATGTAATCGTAAGGAACTTGAACATATGGCACACAAAATAGCCATAAAACATATAACCCCAGTCCAATATGTCATGAAACACTAAACACCAAAAATAATAAAGCTACAACTACCTCATTACATTATTTTCTGTAATAAGTGTAAATTAAGATTTAAAGAACCTTACATTTCGGTTCCTCTAGGCTGCAATTTGAATCAATGAATTAAAGAGTTACGGAACATACAGCTAATCAAGGTAGAATTGATCAATTGAAGATGGGATGCACGATAGAATTGAGGAAGAAGAAGAATTAAGCATCAATTTAGGAAAGAAAACCGATGACCCAGAATACCTAATTGAGGGAAAAATCGGCCGAATCCAGCGTTCCCTTTGAAAGACAGCAGTGCTAATTTCCTAATGTGAGAGCTTCCTTCTGATATGAGAAATTACCATTTGCAACTTCGTGTAGCCTTGAATAGATCCGAGAAATCGCGAAGATCATGCGATTGACTGTGGGCGATAGATCGGGAATCAAGAAGAGGCAGAATCGGAAATCTCCTCTTTGGGACTTGGGAGCGTCGTGAATGGAAGATGGTTACTAATAAGACGCGTGTAAACTGATGTGGCACTAAAATAAACACATATCGTCGTGTACACTGGAAAACGGTGCCACTAGCGGTATCACTGGGTTTTTGGGCACCTTCGGTGCTTCGTTCATAAAATTGACGGTTCCTACCCCCCCTAAACCCCCACCCCTGCACCCCCACCCCAACCCCGCCGTAAACACATTTTGTGAGGGCTTACGACGGGGTTGGGGTGGGGATAGGGTGGAGGATTTATGGGGTGGGTTAGGGGTAGGAACCGTCAATTTTACGAACGAAGCACCGGAGGTGCCCAAAAAACAAGTGGCACCATTCTCCAGTGTTACTAGAACCGGACCGTATCATCATTCTAAACAATCAACTCTCAAATTTTATATTAAAGGATTCCAAATCAAATGCCAAAATAAAATGATTTCATCAAAAATAAGGATGAACACTCATGAATAATTTATCAAATTTGTAATAACTCGAATTTTAATTGAAAAAACATAAATTTTTAAGGTTTTTAAACTAATCTCAATTCGAGGAGATAGAAAAAAAAGAGTAAATTTTAAAAATTATCCTCAATTATATGTAAAAAAGAGTAAATTTCATAAATGATTCTCAATTATATGTAGTTTTCTATATTTGGTCTCTAGTTATAAGATATTTCATAAAAATCTTAAATTTTTGAAAACTATTTCACAAATAGTCTTTTTCACCAAATATGATAACATATTTTGAGTAAATTCTCCAAATAACCCTTTTAATAATGTTTTTTCCAAAGTATTCTTCAATAAGCAAAAATTATTAACGTTTTCCTTTATAATTGAGATGTGTTTCTTAAATAGTTCTTTATCAAAAATGCATATTAAATGAAAGTTAAATAAAGAATATTTTGATGCTCTTTATTATCTAAAATATGAATAAGTCTTCAAAATTATTTTTTTTAAAGAGCATCAAAATACTTTATATTTAATTGTCATTTAATATGCATTTTTTTTTATAAAGGACTATTTAAGAAACACTAAAGGACCACATTAGTAACTTTTGCTTATTGAGATTACTTTGGGGAAAAATCTTACTAGAAAAGATTATTTTGAGAATGAATTTACTCAAAATATTTTGTCATATTTGATGAAAAGGACTATTTGTGGAATACTTTACAAAATTTGAAGACTGTTTATGGAATATCGTATAATTGGGGAATAAATTTAGAAAATTACATATAATTGGAAACCATTTATTGAATTTACTTGAAAAAAATATTTTAATGGGATTTTCCTAACTTGAGTATAGTTTCAAGTACCAATTTTTATTTCGTTTCTAATAACATTAAAATATAAGGTTATGATACCAATTTTCTAAAAACGAATACAGCAACAGATCAAAAATGCGACTCTTAAAACGAAATGTTCGTTAGGGTTAAAACACATTACACATGTTTGTTTTTTCGATTTTGATTCCAATTTGAGGGAACTAAATAGATTTGATAAACCAACATAACGCTCTGATATCACACGTTGATCGATTCTTCAACATAAAATATATATCACCAATTAAATCATATGTACATGATAATTGTGTGAACGCAGCTGTGGATGAGGTCATGATTTTGATGTAGACCGAGTTCCCAATTAGGATGTATTGTTATGATCACTAAGGTAAGAATAAGACTCGCAGAGGAGAGGCGTAAGATTAGTATGTTAACCTCTGTCTAATGACCTCTTTATATATATACTCGAGGGGAAATTCTAATTAGGTCGTAAGGATAATTACGTCCATCGAACAATTATCAGTTAAATACATAAGGTATTTATAAGGTCATGATCAATTAATTAGTTAAATGATAATTCAGGTCACATAATAAAAACGTGTCCTATAGTCCACGTTTAGTCACCACCTATTCTTGGACTAGGGGTGGGCGTGAAATCCGTTCCCGTTGGACCGTCCCGAAAAATCCTGGATCCGTTTTGTAATTGTACCGATATATTAGGACACATTTTTTTTGTCCTGAACCCGTTCCGTCCCAATATCAAATGGAACATGAGCGGGACAGCTTAAATTTATACCGATCCGTCTAGTTTGTCCCGTTTCATCTACTATACTAATATATAATACTAATTCTAGTCCAAAATCCAAATACATTCATTCTTTAATTAATTAGTTATTTAATTAAATTAACTTCATGAGCTTGAAATTCATTTGGACCCGTTCCACTCATTGTTTTTTGTTGGATGGCTAGATGTTTCTTTTTTTTTTGAATGAAATGTCACCCTCTTCTCCTTCTTATATTTGCAATTAGGACAAAGTAGGACGACCCGAATCCGTCCCGTTTTATACCGATCCCGAATTTTATGGGACAAACCGGGATTAGATTATAATCCGAACCGTTCCGGACCATTTATATATAACGGGACAAGACGTGGGACAACCTAAAATCCGGACCGTCCGGATCCGTGCCCACCCCTATCTTGGACAATTGAAAGCAACATTGCAATTCTTAATGAATGGACAATTTTTTAATGGTCCTTAGGTCCATAATAACTTTAAGGCCTTAATACATAAAATGATTACATGTAATAAGCCTTGTAAAAGGAAAGCCGCGTAATTATGAGTTCATGAAAAATATGTGAAAATATTTATTCTTCCCTTGTGGACTTTATGACCATAATAGCACAACTCTTACACGTGATAGCTAAAATCGAATTCAAACCCAAATATTTTTTTTGTTAGACTACTGGTATTGTGAAAAAACTCTAACTAATCCTGATCGATCGGGGTTTGCCAATAAGGCCAAAAGTTTCCCAATTGATACTGAGATTTGAACTCATGACATCAATGTCACCACAACTCGACACTACCAACTGTACAACCACTACTTGGTATACCCAAGTGTTATTCATTACTTTATTGAAGTTTAATTTATTTAAAATAATATATTCCAAAATGGAGTATAGTATTTTAAATTTTTTAGAAAAAGAATGATATTCATTTAAAATATCAAAAAAGATGTCGGGTACAACATAATATAAAATGGATAGAGTAACAATGCATATAAAAAAAGTCGGCTCTCATTTATATTCTAAGTACTCAGTATGTGATATAAGTTTCTTCCGAACCAAATTAGATTACATTTTTTGCATTACAAAGTAAAATTCTAAGTTTTCGAAACTATTTTAATTAAAAAATAATATAGAAATAAAAATTTAAAACTTACGAATAACAAATCATATGAAAGTCCTACAAAACAATAGATGAAACAAATATTTTTATTTGAGTAAATTCTATAAAAAGTCCTCAGTTATAGGTCGTTTTACATCTTTAGTCCCTACATATCAAATATTACTAATTTAGTCTCCAATTATTATACTCATTTCCACGAATGGTACTTTGTTAACATTTTCATTAAGAATGTGGATAAAATTGTAAATTCACACTCCTTTCTCTTCTCAATTAAACTTCCTCCCTCCCCTCGCACTCCATTCACATACCCGTTGCTGAGTTTGAAGCTTTGAACCCAAAACCGAAATCATCACTCTTGTCTCAATTGTTTGTCTAACTGGTGGAATCCAAATTTGACCAGTAACCTTCATGGATGAGTTTTAATGTTTATTTTCTTTGCAATTTCTTGAGACTTATTGATAAAACTCACCCATAAAGCTTATTGGTTTTGATTTTAGATTCCACTAGGAAAACTAATAATTGAGAAAGGAATGATTATTTCAGTTTTGGATTTAGAGTTTCAAACTTAGCGACGAGTTTGGGAAAAAGTACGAGAGGATGGGGGGAAGCTTAATTGAGGAGAGAGAAGTTTGAATACACATTTTTATCCATGTTCTTAACAAAAACGTTAACAAAGGGTCATTCGTTAAAAATGATATAATAATTGAGGACTGAATTACTGTATTTTACATGTAAGAACTAAATATGTAAAACGACATATAACTGGGGACCTTTTATGAAATTTATTCTTTTTATTTTATTAAATAATTAACAAAAAGTCATAAATGAACAAAAGTTGCACAAAAGAAACAAGAAAAACGTTGTCATCAATTTTGGAAAGAGAGGAGTTTATCCATTAAATTAAAAGGTACAGCAGTAGTTGGCAATTGGTCAAGTTGTGTTTCGTAATGCTGAGCAACGAGAAAATTGTGGAAAACCATTTCCAAAGATCGCATTTTCCCCCCTTCTTCTTCTTCCTCTGTACAACCATCCGCAGAAGCAAACAAACCACTCAATCTGAGATCATTGAGAGCGGTCACAAATTCCTCGCCTTTTTCTCATTCTGTCGGGATCCTTTCTTCAATTCATTTTCTGCTGACGGATTGAGAGTTTTTTGTTTTGTTTTTTTAATCCCAACTAGCCTTCTTCTTCTTCTTCTTATCTGTTTTAGAAGAAGGCTTTCTGGGATTATATATCTTTCCTTGGCGAAACTTCGATGAAAATGATAAGATGGTGGATTGCATCACTGCAATTGGCGGAGCTTTTTGTAACCTCTGTGGTTCATTTGGTGTACGGCTTTTATATATTCAGCACCGCTGTGGCCGGTGATCTCTCTCTGGGGTTGAGTGATTGGTTCTTCAAGCCCAATCTGGAGAATGGGTTGAAGGCAGAAGAGCCAAACAAGATCTCCAGCGTCACAGATTTGCCTCCCATTGTGTTGGTTCATGGAATCTTTGGTTTTGGAAAAGGGGTAATATATTGATTCCTTCCTTTTTGTTTCATGTTTATAGGATTGTGATTTTTCATTTACCTTCTATATATTATTGATTTGAGTTTTTGTTTTTGGGTGAATCTGGGATCTTCAATTTGCTGTAGAGATTGGGTGGGTTGTCTTATTTTGCAGGAGCAGAAAAGAAAGATGAAAGGGTTCTCGTGCCAGATTTGGGCTCGTTGACTAGTGTGTACGATAGGTGGGTACTAGAGAGGCAGAAGTCCTTAAAAATAAGAAATCAATCTGCATTTCCTTGAACATATCCGCAGTTCACCCAA